GCTGCATAAAAGCTTTGCATATAATGTTAGATTGAGGTTTTATTTAGTTATTTTTACTATTCCATAGATTTTTCCATGGAGGCCTGAAGAACTCTGTTTGGGCCACTACACTGTTAACACTGTGGTGTCTCCCAAGTTTTTAGAAGGCTGTTGCTGATCTCATCTCCTGTTTTATGATTTTGAATTACTTTTTTTGGTAAAATACACTCCCAACTGAGAATCTTTACTACCTTTCTCATCCTTGCTGCCCTTCTCCAAGCTGAGTGGAAAGCCACAGCTCTCTGCTTTTCCCTTTGGGTAGGCAGATGATATTTCCAATCCACAGAGTTTCTTTTCTCTAGCACATTTCTTGAGGGTTTACACATGAGCTGAGTGCCTTCTCTGTAGAACTGCCTGAGATGAATATGCTTAATTAAAAGTGAGTGTGGAGACTATATAAAATTCTTTTGTTCTGATACTTAACTAGCTATACCATAATCATTGGCATAATCAAACTATTGTACATGCCTGTAAAATAGCAGTTCTTGAACACAGGCTAGAGAATTTTTTTTAAATCACTGGTATATCAATGAAGCTATTGTCCCAAACTACTGAATAACCTTGTGCTGTAATACACTCAGAAAGATATGGAGTCTGGAAGGAATATATTGAACTATATGTCATTTAGGACCTAATTATGTCTTTCTATCATTCTGTCCCATTCAAATAACTCATATCTAATCCTCACAGCTAAGTTTAGCCTTGCAGTGCAAAAAAACCAAACATACAGGTTGAAAACAATACTGCAACCAGCAGAGGGCAACGAGTGGGGGAGAAAGCTGACTTGGTTTTAAAATACTTCCTCTTCAGAAGCTTTTTTTCACAATCTCATTTTCTTATGCATTCATGGAATCAGTTTCTGGGATATTTAATGTTTATGATAATATGTTGACATGCTAATTAAGATGCTCTTATGCTATGTGCCATAAAAAGAATGGAAAATGGTCTATGCTGCAAAGAAGAGAAGAGGTCAAAAGGGAAACATGCAAGCACAAACAGTGAAATATAAAGTAACAAATTATCTTGCACTTCTGTGCTTGCAAGCTACTGGGTTTTTCTACCTTTTGGGTGACTCTTGCCCCCGTGAATGAGATCAGGACTCCTTGCTTGCTTTCCTGTATGCTGGAACACCCAGAGCAGTAAGGGGCATAGCCTTTTATATTGCTCTGAGGAATAGCAAGCACAGAAATTTATTTAATTCCACCTGTATTAAGTCAGTGTGATCTGGAAAGTTTAGCACAAAGTTAGGAATTAGGTGTCCAAGTTCCTTATTCTGTGTCTGATTTACTGTATGGGCTGTAATAACTTCTGTTCTGCACTTGACTTTCTTCATGTTCAAGATGAAAATGAGAATATTTCTTAGCTCTCTGGAGTATCTTGAGGTTTCATTTGCTCATCCTGATAGAAAGCTTTGAACACAACATGCAAAATGCTATGAATTGATTTCTGATGCTGTTGGCTGCCAGTAAAGAATGACCTCATATTTGTCAACTTAATGGATCTGGTTGAGCAAAAATAATGTGTATGTTCAGGTGTTTTCCCCAGACAGGCCAGTGCAGGAGTGAGAACTGACCTTGTCAAAGAGCATATACAAATCTGCTTAAACCTTGCACCTTTAGGCACAGATATTCCTGGCTGAAAACAATGCCCTTGTCCAACTTGGGTAGATTGTAGGACTGTTGAAATGTATGAGCAAAAAGTGCCAAACTCTGAACTTTTACAGAACAGTTTTATTTAATCTCTGCCTATTGATAAAAGAAAAGAAGTACAGAAAAACATTGCCACTTCATATCAACTTCTCCCTAGGACAGGACCATACTTTCAATAGGAGTTGCACTCAAAACGAAGAACCAGCCACAAGTAAAAGCCTAAATCTTAAAATATTTAGAGTTGTGTTAAAATTATTGAAAGTGAAATAGTGTTTGCAATTTTTCTCTTGACCAGCATTGCATTTCCAGCTGTGAACAACATTCCAGAGGGGCAGCAAGGTATTATTTCCCTGTTAGGTGCTGCCTCTGCACTGTCAGACTATAACTGCAGTAGCTCCATGCCCCAAGTGACAGAGATAAAGATCTGAATAGTTATGTTGTAGTTATCCTGCAATGCTGTGGAAATAATTACTTTGGTACGTAAGTTAAATCATCCAAATGGGAAGAAAATACAATTAACATGATGTTTCCTTTTAAGCTTTTGATATACAAGCTTTGCCTCTCAGCTAGATGAGGCCACAGCTAAGAGAACCTGAAATTCAGAAAGAAAACAATGTATACTGCAAGAGGTTTTCTCCAAAACCAGTATAAGAACAGTGAAGAGCTTTACAGAGGGGTTTTCTCTTATATTTCTGAAAGCATGATACATATATATAGAAAAAAATGAATTTATACAAGCTTTAGAATCCAAAACTATGTCTGCAACATATTAAGTGATATAAAGAACATATGTTGTGTCATAACAGAAGTTTTAGATGAATCTTGGAAGTTTATATTCTAGAAAGGTAGTCGATAAAATCACCTTGTTGTAAATAAATTGAAGGCCACCTAGCCTCTCCCTTTGTCCTAAATTACCCCTAAATACCTGCTCTGGTGGGAGGTGTCCCTGCCCAGGGCAGGGGTTGGGGCTGGATGATCTCTAAGGTCCATTCCAACCCCTAAAATTCTATGATTCTATGACTCTAAGTTTATGAATAAGTATTCTAATCTGAGCTCCTGCTAAATCTCTGGTAAGACCTCAAGTTAGTATTCTGCCCATTTTGGTCACTGCATGCTCACCAGAAAGATGTGATTCTGTCTGTGGAGTGTCCAGAGAGCAGCAACAAAGATGTTTGCAGATGTTCTAGAATCATGGAATTTAAGGGTTGGAATGGACCCTATAGATCATCCAGTCCCAAGCCCTGCCCTGGGCAGGGACACCTCCCACCAGAGCAGGTTGCTCAAGGCTCATCCAACCTGGCTGTGAACACTGCCAGGGTTGGGGCAGCCACAGCCTCCCTGGGCAACCTGGGCCAGGCTCTCACCACCCTCACAGGAAGACATTTTTTCCTAATATCTAACCTAAATTCCCCTTCCTTCAGTTTGTACTCATTATCTCTTGTCCTGTCCCTGCAGCTCCTAACACAGATCCCTCTGCAGTTTCCCTGGAGCCCCTTCAGCTCCTGGAAGTTGCTCTGAGGTCTCCACACAACCTTCTCTTCTCCAGGCTGAACAGCCCCAACTCCCTCAGCCTGTCCTCACAGGGAGATGCTCCAGTGCTCTGAGCAACTTCGTGGCCTCCTCTGCACTTGCTCCAACATTTCCATGTCCTTCTTACATTGAGGGCACCAGAAGAAATGACTAGGAGTAAAATATGAAGAGCTCTGAAGTTCTGAGGAAAGTTGTAACAACAGTCTTTATGTTTGTGAAGCATTGCTGTAATGAAAAGCTCTTCATTCCTACCTGTGTGCAGAAAATAAAAGAAAGTGATATAAATAACAGCAAAAGAAAAGTAGATTAGACATCAGAAGATTTTTTTCTAATGGGGAAGATAGTTAAACAGTGCAACACATTTATGAGATGTGTGGTATCTTCAAATATAACATTTTAAAATATGCATTTGCCAGCAGTGGCTCAGTTGTAGCCTTGCTGTGCTTCTGTTGGTCTAAAGACTTAAACAAGGCAAGGTTTGTGGAATAAGTAATATATTTTATTAAATCAACTGATACAGCTGGAAGATGGACATAAGCTTTCAGGCACATCATCCTTCTTAGGATCTAAAGAAGCATCTGATCTCAAGAGCTTATGTGCCTTAAAGTCTGTGCATTTTTTCCAGCTGTTTTAGCTAGTTTAATAACAGAATGGCTTAACCCTAGCTGATTCCATTTTAGATTTGGGCAGCCTCTTCAGGACCTTTTTAACTCTGGTTTTTAGCATTCTGTGATCTGTTTAATATATCTAAATTAAGTATAGTGCTATATCCTGGCAGATTAAGGAGACTTTGAATCTTCATCTGGATTTGCATGATGGATGAATTATTGTTTGCAGGGAAGACCCTTTGATGTGCAGTGAGTTGTGCTGTTTTCTTACAAGAAGTACTGTGCTCCTGGAAAATTTTGTGCCTGAGTTTTTAAAGAGCCTTTGTTGAATAAATCTAAAACATTCAAAAACTTTGGATTGCTACAGTATCTCAGGTTTTGTCTCCCCAAATTATTAAAAACCTGATTTTTAGGCTACTTTCTTAGGTTTAATTTAGGCATTTTTAATTTAGCAGCTTATGCACTTAGTGTAATGGTGTTAAAGGACTGTTTTGCCTCATTTCTAGAAGCCTTTCAATTAGAAAAAGAGAGCATGAAATATATAAAACAAGCTTTAAAGGCACATCTTGTAAAGTGTCTGCTCCATGCTGCTTTGGATTGTCATCAAAAACATGCTGCATTTAAAATGGATAGTGCTTGATAACTGCAAAAATTGCACACAGTTACCCAGATAATTGTTACAGATTCTCTGCAGATGCAACAGATATCCAGCAAAATATTGTATAAAATGATTGTTTAACACAGTTCACAAGATTCTGTGTTGTAGCCATCTGAATTAAGCATCATGCTATCCTAAGGAAACAGTGAAACCTTTACAAATGGAGTTGTGTATTGCCATGGAGTAGAGACAGTGGATTAAGAGTCATGAAGAAAGTTGTGTGAAGAGTTAGTGAAGATAAACTAGCAGAAAAATTAGTTGCTTTATATATTGGATTATTTCCATGCTGTTGTCTGTGGAAAGCTGTTCTTTGTGTACCAAGAATCTCTCTACTTGTCCCCTCTCATTTCCACTCTTAAAGAAAACACTTAGTTCTTGCTCTGAACTACATATTCAAATATTCTTTGTTAAACAAAAGACACAAACATCTCCTTAATTCTGCAAAGCCAAATGTTTTCCTCTTTAAAGCGTTCCCTATGTCATTTCCATCTCACTAACTTGTCTTTCCAAATTCAGTTTGCATTGCAGTGTGGAAGAATCATCACATGAGGACAGTTACCAACTATTTCATAGTGAATCTTTCTCTGGCTGACATTCTGGTCACAATTACTTGTCTTCCAGCAACTTTAGTAGTGGACATCACAGAAACGTGGTTCTTTGGGCAGAGCCTCTGCAAAGTGATTCCCTACTTACAGGTATTATTTTACTGTGTTTGTGTGCACATGACCAATGTTATGAAAATGAGAAAGAGCAGTAACATCTTCCTAGCAGTGATAATCTGATGGAATTCTATGCCTGATACTGAAATAGATATCTGAGAGTACATGCTGAGGCTTAAAAGATTGTTCCACTTGTGAATATGGTTAATGAGTATTGGATTTGGTCTGTCTGATTGTTAGACTTGGGCAATATATTTTTCTGGAATATTTGTCTGATGCTCTTCACTTCTTGTGATTTTTTTTAAAAATAATTCAGAAGGGATATAAAGCAATAAAAAGGTCTGTAAATAGAATCAAAGTTATTATTATTCCCTGTGTGTGTGGATCTAAACAGCTCCACAAGTGTCCAAGATAGAGGAACCAACTTCTGAAGGTAAACAGCTCCTCCAAGATAGAGGAACCAACTTCTGAAGGCAATCTGGACTTTTATATGCATTGAATGATTTTGTATGCTTTAGAAATAGTCAAAGTATCCAAGTTCACTGGGAGCTGATCAGATTGTCTGGCTTAAGCAAGAATTGCCACCACTACGTGGACTTAATCAGTTTTGAGATCATTTGCATCAGAATGATTGACAAATACCTTTTCTAAGAATAGGTGGTGAGATGATGCAACTGGGCAAACTAGAATGACAAGTGCTTGGCCTTGTAGTCATTATAATTCCAAGGAATTAAGCAGAACTTGGAATGTATGCAGGTGATCATCTCTGTGCCTCCAGCACAATTTATATTTCCAGCAGATACCTCCATGGCCAAAGAGCCACATTGTCAAGGGCAAGAGTTCTCCAGCAACTCTGTCCTCTACTCAATACAGTCAAAACCACAACACTTGTTTGTCAAAGCCTCCATGCTAGTGAAGGAAAATCTGAAGAATGAGTGAAATGATCGCCTAGCATACAGAGCAAAATGATAAAACTCAAGTGATAGATTATTTCCTGGACTGAATAAAAGGTAAAATGTCTTAGTCTGTTTTAAGCTGATTGTTGCCTGTTGTTTTGCTCATGAGACCTTGAATTTCCATTGTCCTGTGGAAAATAAATGGCAAATTGTTTTCAGTGGTATGCAAACATGAAATAAAATAAACCATTGTTTTTCTACAAGGGAAAAAAAAAAAGATCTAATTGGTTGTCAAATGTTCTAAAAGTAGTCTTTCAAATAATGCTCTACGAATTCCCAGTTGATTAAATTTGCTATTTCAAAACTTCACTTTGCTACACCTACTCAGTTTAGGTAGCACCTTAATCTGTGAATTGTCCTGTTGATTCTAGTAGGACTGTGGCAGATGAGGATATTTGTTGCAATTCTATTAGAAGTGACTTTTTTCTGGGAATAATTTTGATCCAATATGTGCAGGTAAAGAACTATATTGAAAATAGAAAGAAATCTTAAAACTCTGAGAGAAAAAAAAGGTTAAGAAAATTTTTAAAGCTCTGAAAAAACCCTACACTCACATTTCCCTAATATTTCCTTTTCTTTAGACAGTTTCAGTCTCTGTGTCTGTACTAACACTCAGCTGCATTGCTTTGGATCGATGGTATGCAATTTGTCACCCTTTGATGTTTAAAAGCACAGCCAAGCGAGCAAGGAACAGCATTATAATTATCTGGATTGTGTCCTGCATCATAATGATTCCTCAGGCTATTGTTATGGAGTGCAGCAGTGTGTTCCCAGGATTAGCCAATAAAACCACCTTGTTCACAGTGTGTGATGAGCACTGGGGAGGTGAGTGTGTCATTGACCATATGAACTGAATTTGTACTGCTATTAAGCAGCAAAACTACCAGGGCACGTTAATATGGAGTCGAGTTGTATAAACATGTCACAAAATGTTCTTTATTAGATCAGCTTTCCTAGAACTACCATCTTTCAGATACTGTGAAATTTCTGTGAATTTCTTTTGTACTGCTGAGACATAAAGCACAGTTGAAATCAAGTTTAAATGGATGAGGATGACTTTTGTCTTGTTTAAATGGACGAGGATGACTTTTGTCTTGTTTAAATGGACGAGGATGACTTGACTTTTGTTTAAATGGACGAGGATGACTTTTGTCCTGACCATATGAATGTTTCCCAGAGGGCAGAAATGTTCCCACCCTTAAATGCTTTATGCTTATATAACTCTGTGACTGATGGGCATTGCAGGTTTGCAAAGACTTGAGTGTTTAGCCTGAAGAAACAGCTATGCAAGAACAGAATTTCTGTTTACCTGATACATTTCTTTTGCTAATTGCTGGTATTTGATTAGTCTTTACTGACCATATGAATGTTTCCCAGAGGGCAGAAATGTTCCCACCCTTAAATGCTTTATGCTTATATAACTCTGTGACTGATGGGCATTGCAGGTTTGCAAAGACTTGAGTGTTTAGCCTGAAGAAACAGCTATGCAAGAACAGAATTTCTGTTTACCTGATACATTTCTTTTGCTAATTGCTGGTATTTGATTAGTCTTTATAGAAACCTCCCAGGAGTACAGTGCAAATTGCATGGCATTGCAGAATTTACAGAGGTGTCATCAATATGAGGCAGTGAGTTAGCCTAAAATTGGACATTTTTCATAAGCAAGATGATTGAAATAACTTGGTGAATGTAACCAGTTAAAAATGAGTCTATCCAAGAAATGTAACTCTGCCCCTCCATACTCACTTTGAATCCAACATGTTCTGTATTTGAATGAAGCTGTAAGGCTTGCCAGGGTGTAACTACTTCTATTTTGTCTCCATTCACAGCAAGTGGTGTGAGCCACCCACTGGAACAGTTAGCTCAACTCTGGTGGGCCCTGGCACACCTCCAACCCTAACAGAGTCTGTGAGTTACTTGCTGTGACTCTGACACTGGATATAATGACCATCAGTAATGCCATTATTCACACACAGGAAAATAAAGCCAAATTTGCCAAAACATATAACTGAAGGGTGTCTGCTTAATAGCCTTGAGACAGACTAAAACACAATCAGATTCTCTCCCAGAGCTGTCTCTGTAGAAGAAGATTCCAGTCCTGTGAACAATTTTGATAACATACAGCTGGATCACCTGTACTTCATTATCATGATAAATTAGCTTAAGCAGCTTGAACTGCTGAAGGCTCTTGCATGTGCTGGTTTGGAAGTTCCTCCCTTGCTAACAGCTTTCACAGGGCCACCAGAGGGTTAATGAGAAGACACTGACTGTTCTTTATCCACTTCATCACAGTTAGTCCTCTGGGACAAGGCAAGAGGGCAGAGATGCCCATTGACTGCCTGGCACTCATTGCTGACAGAGATGTGCTGAAAAGTTTGTAGGTTAGAGGAAGCCTCTGTTAAACTGTACTTGCTGCTTCATTGGAGAAGACACATCTGCTCTTTACTTCTAGTTCCCTTTCTTCATCTGCAAACAATTTTGTACTCCCATCTGCTGCTGGATGCTGCAGTATTTATGTGACTTATTTTCTTTCACAGCATTCACTCCAAGTACAATTTGTGTCCACTCATTTTGGCTGCAGAACTAATTGTCCATGCCTTCATCACTTCAAGGTTAGCTCTGCAGCAAAGATTCTTTTAATCAACTTAGGAAATGATGTGGTTAATTAATTAGGAAGTCAGGAGATCATTTCATCAGGGAATATAATCTCAAAATTTCTATATCTGTATTGGCCACCTTTTGATTCCCAATAGGAAAGCTGTGCTCCTGAAGTATAGGATCTGTAGTAGCCTTAAAACTATTTCAAAGAGTGCCTCTTGTTCAGTGCTGTGCTGAAATAGTTGCAGCCCACAGACATACCTGAGCTGAAGCACCCATTATACAAAAAAACTCAACAAATCAACCAACTCAAACTCACAGAATCACAGAATATTCAGAGTTGGAAAGGACCCCCAAGGATCATGGAGTGCAATTCCTGGCCCTGCACAGAACATCCCTGAAAATCACACCATGAGAGATAGAAAGGGATATAAAATCATAGAATCATAGAATCAACCAGGCTAGAAAAGTCCTCCAAGATCATCAAGTCCAACCCTACCATGGTTACTAGCCCATGGCACTAAGTGCCACATCCAGTCTCAGCTTGAAAACCTCCAGGGATGGGGAATCCACCACCTCCCTGGGCAGCACGTTCCAATGCCTGAGCACTCTCTCTGCAAAAAATCTCTTCCTAAGATCCAACCTAACCCTCCCCTGGCAGAGCTTGAGTCTGTGCCCTCTTGTCCTGCTGCTGGTTGCCTGGGAGAAGAGACCAATCCCCACCTGACTCCAACCTCCTGTCAGGGAGTTGTAGATGGCAAGTAATTGTATATAGAATTAAGTTCTTTTTGTCTGCAGCTTCAGAAATGAATTGCAAACACTCCAATTTTTTAAAATTATTATTTATAATGAGCATGAAAAAATACTTCTGTATTGAAAATACATTGCATTTTTCTGAAATGGGAATCTTTTCACTATGCTGAAAGATAACAATCCTATTTTTATCCTGCTGCCTTTTGAAAGAATTATTCTTCTAATGCCAATGCACCATCATTGCTAGTTGTTCTCCTGGTGCATTTCAGATACCCATAAAAAATAATCCTCTCCATGTTCTAATAATAATTTATCACAGTAACTTGAAAGTAGAACCTTTATGTGCATCAAATTACAAATAGATTGCTCAGATCATGGTATTAGTAAATGTAGAGTTAACTGTATTTTATCAATGAGGATAAAACATAATATATATATATTTATATGCCTTTCAGACTATGGAGAATAAAGTGTCATTATAAAAATAGTTCCCATTCCATTGAAAATGTCTGAGGACTCTGAGTTAGGGCAAAGCATAGAATATGTAGTATTTCTACTGAAAAACAGGGTTTGAAATCACAAAGGCTCCAAAACAGAAGGACAAAAGGACATGGTAACAGGGCAGTGGAATGAAAAGGCTGGTGAGCCTTAAAGCCAGAAGAAGAAACAAAGAGCTAGTATTTCCAAAGAAAATAGTTGCATTTTTATTGGATTTTGTTTTGCCTTTTTTTGACTATGGGAATATGGAGGGTCAAAAGAAGCTAACTATGAGGAGGTTGAAGGAGAAAGAAAATCATGTTGCTACAAATACCCTATATTTGCAAAAAAATCTGGACATGTACATACTGCAAACACTCAAGACACCCTGAGAAAATCCTATCAGCTTAGTCAACTAGAGCCAACTTAGAGGAAAGGGATTGCATTTGAGTGTTTACTGCTTTGTTTAGAAGAGCAGATAATTTATGCTGTCTAAAATTAGGGTACATCTGATCAAATCTTTGCAGAGCATCCTGTGCACCATTTGTCCCAAGGATGTTAAACTGAATTTTCAAAGTTGGGAGTGCAAAAAGTGGATGCTTAATGGCACTTTCCAAAGTGTTTTGGAAGTCTATTGTAATTCTGGGAACTCAGAGCCACTGAAACATGAAGTGCTATGAAGGACTAACAGGAAACCATGGCCAGGAAAGTGTCAGAGATGCCAAAGCAGGAGACAGCACTGTGCCCTATCCAGACTTAGGACCAGCTGCTGAAGACCATACAAGTCTGATGAGTGGCTGGAAGGAAGGTCTGATCAGCACTGTGACACTTGGGCCCCTGAAGAGTGAACAAATAGTCACCATCCTGACCAACAAGATTTCAAGCATGTTGCTGGAGAGCTGCCAGGGAATGCAAATGGAGCAACAGTTCAGCCTAAAATGGGGCTCAATTTCTTTTTAATTGCTTCTGGC